AGGAGGCTGCCGGGTGGGGGAGTGGGGGTGGGGCACTGTGGAGGTACTGACCCCGCCCTTCTCCCCCCTGGGAGTGGGGAGTCCCAGGAGGCTGCCGGGTGGGGTGGGTGGGGGTGGGGCGCCATGGAGGTACTGACCCTGTCCTGTTCCCCCCTCAGTTTCTGCCCAAACCTGTCAGCCATCTCCACCACGCTCAAGCTCTCCCACAACGTGGCAGCATTCTTTTGCACAGGGTCTTGCCTTGCTGGTGGGGGGCAGGGCGGGGGGGGGGCGGGCCTCCTACCCCCTACGCTGAGGCTCCTTAACCAGCCCCCACCATGGCGTCACCTTCCTGGCCTTTGGAAACGGTGCGCCCGACATCTTCAGTGCGCTGGTGGCCTTCTCAGACCCCCGCACGGCCGGCCTGGCCATCGGGGCGCTGTTCGGTGAGAGCAGCCCCAGTGGGCGGGGGTGGGGAAGGACCAGACTGCACGGGGGGGGGGGGGCTGCACGTGGGGGCGGCTGAACTACCGGGGCTCCCGGGGGGGCCCGCGGGCTGGGTAACCCGGGGGGGGCCGGGGGCATCGCCATCCTGCGCCCCTTCACGGCCGCCTCCAGGCCCTTCCTCCGGGACGTGTCCTTCTACATGACGGCTGTCTTCCTGACCTTCACTGCCCTCTACCTTGGCAGGATCACGCTGCCCTGGGCCCTGGGTGAGCAGACATGGGCCCCTGATGCCCCGCACCTGCACCCCGGGGGCCCCACCATCCAAAGGACACCCGTGCAGGAGGGATCCGGGAGAAACGCCCCAGACCCCTGCTGCCGCTGACTTCCTGTGCAGCCTGCACCGGCTGAGCCCAGCTGCAGTCGGTGCGTGTGTGCTGCAGCCTCGGGCCCCGGCCCCCATGGCGTAGAGCGGGACCCCCACCCTTAGCACCTGAGGCCCCTCTCTCGGCCTTGACTGCAGGTTGTGGAGGAGGCAGGAGAGGGAGGTGGGCCGAGGGGCGAGCTGGTCGGTCACCTGCCGAGGCCGGCCGGCAGGGTCCCGGGGAAGGTGTGCTGGTGGAACTGCCAGCCCATGTTCTCTGGGCCCTGCAGCCAGACTGCTGCTTGGTGACGTGTGTGCCCCCATCCACAGGTTACCTGGGACTGTACGTGTTCTACGTGGTCACCGTGATTCTCTGCACTTGGATCTACCGATGGCAGCGGACACAATCCCTGGTCTACTCCATGCCGGGGACTCCAGGTGAGGCCCCTCCCCGCTAGACCCTCCAGGGAGGGCCTGTGGGGGCGGGGTCCTCTGTGCCCTTCCCTGTGGCCGCCTCCTGTCTCCCGAGGCCATCGCCACTGGCCCCGCCAAGCCCATCTTCCCTTTACACTTTTCCTTTCCTTCTTGTAATGCTCAGTTATTGCTTTCTATTGGAGAGACCGAGAGAGAGAGAGAGCTCTTTGATCAACTGGTTCGCTCCTCAGATGCTCCTGACAGCCAAGCTGAGCCAGGAGTGCCATTCAGGTCTCCCACATGCATGGCAGGGACCCAAGCCTTGTGGGTGCACATGAGCAGGAAGCTGGGAGCTGGAGTGGAGCCAGGACTTGAACCCAGGCACCCTGCTGTGGGACTGGGTGCCCCATGTGCTCTCTGATATCTGGCGACATCGGCTCCTCTCTATAGCTTCCCTGCACGGTGGGCTGAGGTCCCTGCTCTGTGCCTGGCCCGGGGCTGATGAGCGTCCTCTTCCTCCTCTGGGTTCCTTAGTTCTTCTCTGTGCCATTGCCTGGGTGATTGTTCTAAGCATTGTCCCTGGGGCCAACTTGGTGGTGGAACCGGTGAAGCCATCACCTGTGACACCTGCATCCCATATAGGCGCCGGTTCGAGTCCCGGCTGCTCCACTTCCAACCCAGCTCTCTGCTAATGCACCTGGGAAAGCAGCAGCAGGTGGCCTGAGTGCTTGGGCCCCTGCACTCATGTGCAAGACCTGGATGGAGCTCCTGGCTCCTGGCTTCAGCCTGGGCCAACCCCAGACATGGTGGTTATTTGAGGAGCAAACCAGTGATGGAAGATTCTCTCTCTCTGCCTTTCAAATAAATAAGTAAATCTTTAACGAGGCGGGGGGGGGAGGGAGGGAGGGAGGGAAAGACTCCCTGTGCATGCCTGGGGGCGGCTGAGAAGTCCGGCAGCCGGAGGGCCTGCACCTTGCACGCTTGGTGCTGCCCTGTCCCAGGCTGGTGCTGCGGGCTCCGGCCCCCGGCTCATGTCAGACGCCCCCCCTTGCAGAGTTGCTCTCTGATTCCGAGGACGATCTGGGGTCCTCCAACACCAACAGCTACGACTACGGTGAGGCCCTGTCCTGTGCCCGGCTGTGAGCGGGGCGGGGGGTGGGGTGGGGGAGACAGGGCGCCCCAAACAAGGCTCCAAACCAGCCCCACTTCTCGCTGTACCCGGGCTGAGCTGCGAGCCAGGCTCACCTGCCTTCTGCCAGGCACTGGGCTTGAACGCTTCCCCAGGCTCCGGAGCACTGGTGGGTGGTGGGTTTCCTGGAGGCAGAGCCAGCCCTGGACACACTGTCCCCACCCCTGCCCCCTACAGGTGACGAGTACCGGCCCCTGTTCTCCCAGGAGACCACGGCCGAGATCCTGGCTGGGGCCCTCAACCCACTGGACTACAGGAAGTGGAGAAATAAGCCAGCTTCCTGGAGGGCCCTGAAGGTGTTGAAGGTAAAGGGGGTGGGGGCGGGGGGAACCCAGGAGCCAGGCTCCCAGCCTGCGACAGCAGCAGCCCCACCGGCGCCGCTCAGCCTTCCGCGGTGCCACGGGATGTCAGCATGGACCACCTGGGACCCAATGGGGAAACTGAGTCAGGGCTTCACTGATGGCCTGGCCTGGGCCTCTGCTCTCCATGGAGGAGGGAGAGGGTCTGCCCGGGCACAGAAGGGAGGGGACCATGTAGGTGGGAAGGGGGAAGGGCGGGGCCAAGGTGAGTTCTGGTTAGAACCGGGCAGACCCCCTGCTGGGTCCCTGGGCACCGCTGTGTCCTCTAAGGCCTGGACTGAGCCCGGCCAGCAGGCTGGTGACAGGAGGTGTGGCCTCGCAGCCCTGGTGACCCAGCCCTAACAGGCCTGTCTAACAGACCAGGGGGGAACCCCCTCCGGGACCAGCTCAGCTTCTCAGTCCCAAATAAGGCGAATAATGAGCTTTGTTTTCAGCCCGCAGTGGCTCTGGCTGTGTCCTGACCTTGAGCAATTTTAAGCTTCCAGCCTCAGTTTTCCTCCACCGTAGAATGGGGATCATTCTGCCTTCCCCTGCAGCGGCACTCAGCCATGTAACCGGGACCCCTGCCCGCCCCCCCAACCACCGCCCCCACCCCCTTGACTTGCCCTGGCCTGGCTGCGGCAACTCCACAGTGGTGGTCAGTGGCCAGCTCTGCCCTGGATCTCATGCTGGGCCGGTTGGCCTCTGGGCAGGTTCCTGGTGGAAGAGGCCAAGGCAGCGTCCCCAGGCACATTCGAAGCCTCCCTGGCCGAGTTCAGCATTCATGGGACAGAGGTCTCCTGTAGACCCTGGCTGCTTGGCTGAGTGCCTGGGTGTGGATTCGGTTACAGGAGGGGCTGAAGGACTGGCAACACGGGCTGATGGGGGTGAGGGACTGTGTGTGGGTCCTGACCTATGGGAAAGTAGATCCTGGCTAAAACCATAAGACGTAGAGGCAGACAGAGTGGATCTGTAGCCCAGCTGTGTATCCCCTGTCTGTGTGGCTTTGGATGAGTACCTCAGCCTCTCTGGGCTCATGACTGGGTGATTATCCTGTCCACGGGGTGGGGTGCTGGGCTATGAAGAACAGTGAGCCCCCCAAAGATATCCCCACTCTAATCCCCAGAACCTGTGGCTTACGGGGCGGAGGGGACCCTGCAGGTGTTGAGGCTGCTGCGAGGGGGAGGGGGTTGGGGGATTGTCAGGGGCCCAGAGTGGTTGCAGGGGTGCCCGTAGGAGAGAGGGAGTGAGGTGGGGTCAGGAGCCAAGGAACGCAGGTGGCCCCCGGAAGCTGTGAAGGCGAGGAACAAAGTCTCCAAGCCCTTCCCGAAGCAGTGGGACGGACAGGACGCACTTGTCACCTTTGTCACACTTTTCGGTCACTCGGGTTGTAGTCACTTCCTCCCGCCGCAGAGGGAAACCCATAGCTCGTGAGTCACTGAGCTTGGACGCTGGCCGCGGGTTCCCCTCATGGCGCCTCTGGCCTCTGTCCGCCTGGCAGCTGCCCGTGGAGTTCCTGCTGCTGCTCACCGTCCCCGTGGTGGACCCCGACAAGGAAGACAAGAACTGGAAGCGGCCCCTCAACTGTCTGCACCTCGTTATCAGCCCACTGGTCGTGGTCTTGACCCTGCAGTCTGGGGCCTGTGAGTACCACCCCCTGCCCAGTGCCCACCCACATTCTAGAATTTTCTGCTCAGCCACACCGGAGGCATGAGAGGGGCGTCTGGGCTCGTGGCAGAGCCTCGGGCATACAGCAGGTGCACTGGCCTGGGAGTCTACCCAGGGCCACGCCAGGGTCAGGCTGATCCAGTTCTACTGGCTTTAGGTGGCTGGTAGACCAAGTCCAGCGCTCTGGCTCATTTGCCTGCATTTAAAGCTTTGGAGATTTCACAAAAAAATCTGGACTGGGGGCCGGCGCCGTGGCTCACTAGGCTAACCCTCTGCCTGCGGCACCGGCATCCCGGGTTCTAGACCCGGTTGGGGCGCCAGATTCTGTCCCGGTTGCTCCTCTTCCAGGCCAGCTCTCTGCTGTGGCCAGGGAGTGCAGTGGAGGATGGCCCAGGTGCTTGGGCCCTGCACCCCATGGGAGACCAGGAGAAGCACCTGGCTCCTGGCTTCGGATCAGCACAGTGCACTGGCTGCAACGCACCAGCTGCAGCGGCCATTGAGGGGTGAACCAATGGAAAAGGAAGACCTTTCTCTCTCTCTCTCTCTCTCTCTCTCTCTCTCTCTCTCTCTTTCACTGTCCACTCTGCCTGTCAAAAAAAAATATATATATATCTGGACTGGGGCTTCTCAAGCCTTCAGGGACCTCTTGGAATCCTGAAGGGAATCTGGCTGGAGCCAGAAGGGGCCGTGCTGTGGTGTCCGGGGGCCTGAATCCCCACCACGCCCTCTCTCGCCTGTGGGGCGGCCGGGCTGGGCTCAGCCCACTTGACCACGTGACCTGGCCAAGTTCCCATGCGCTGGTGTCCCCGCCTGCCCAGGACACTCTGCCCTGGCTGAGGAGATGCCCAGGCCTTTTGTCACTGTTGTTAATTTTTACTTATTTAGTTTCACTTCATTTAAAAGAGAGAACAATGCTACCATCTGCTGGTTCACTCCCCAAAATGCCTGCAACAGCCAGGGCAGGGCCAGGCCAGAGCCAGGAGCCAGGAGCTCCATCCAGGCCTCCCATGGGGATGCCAGGGATCCAAGTACCTGAGCCATCGTCTGTTGCCTCCCAGGCTGTGCGTTAGCAGGAAGCTGGATCAGAAATGGAGGAGCGGCCGGCATCTCGTGTGGGCACTGGTTTGGGTCCCGGCTGCTCCACTTCCAATCCATCTGCCTGCTGATGGCCTGGGAAAGCAGGGGAAGATGGCCCAAGGACTTGGGCCCCTGCACCCATGTAGGAGGCCCTGATGAAGCTCCTGGCTCCTGACTTTGGCCTGGCCCAGTCCTGGCTATTGCAGCCATCAGGGAGTGAACCAGTGGATGGATCTCTCTCTTTCTCTGTCTCTCCCCTCTCTATCTAACTCTGACTTTCAAAGAGATAAATCTTAAAAAAAAAAAAAAAAAATAGCAAGGAGCTGGGACTGGAGCCCTGGCACTCTGATGTGTAATGCGTGCATCCCAAATAGTGGCTTAACCACCAGGCCAGACACCTGCCTGCTGGTTCTTCTTACATCGGTACTTTTAGAAAGCAAATGCATGGAGAAGGAAGTGGTATCACCTGCACCGATTGGAACCTGACGTCACTTCTAACAAAGCCAAGGTCACTGGGGACAGCAGTGCACCCTCCCCTGCCCTCCTGAGCTGGGCTGGAGCCCGCACACCTCGGGGTTTAGCAGGCGCTGTCCAGCAGCCCGGAAGGGAGACTCCCCTTGTTCCGGGGAGGGCCCTGGAGAAGGAGGCCCTTTCTGGAGCCGTGGTGCTGGGGTTCAGTGTCTCCTCCACGTGCCCCTGACACCATCGGTAGCCAGTCCATCCCAGGGAATTCTGGTCCAGGCCAGCGCCTCCGTGGGCCCCTTCTGGGCAGGGGGCTGCGTGGACAGAACCCCCAGCCTCAGCCCGTGGCCCGGGTAGCAGCAGCTCCATTTCCTCGCCAGCCTGCAAGCTCCTCCCTCCGCAGGCTGCCCGGTGAGGTTCCCGCTCTACCACTTCCGTGGCTCCCCAGTGCCACGTCCCCGGCTCTCCCTGGAGGAGGCCTCCAGCTCCGACCCTCAGGCTCCAAGGAGCCCCTCCCTGACCACCCCACACCTACTTCCCCCAAAAGAGCCTATGGCGAGGGCTGGGCACATGCGGAGAAAGCCAGGCTGGAGGCGAGCGTGGTCGCTGGACACCACCCGGAATGACAGGGCACGCAGTCTGTGAGCTCATCCTCGCACAGGTCCTGCACCTGCTCACGTTTGGGGGCCAGTGAGCTGGGCCAAAGAAAACTGGAGGGAGGTCTTGGAGTGTGTCTCTGGGCACTGGAACCATTCCTTGCCTATAGGACCATGACGCCATTAGAGGGCACAAAGAATTCTAGAATCTTCCTGGTGAAAGGACGGTGTGCAGAGAATTCCAGAATCTTCTTCCTGCCTGTGGGTTCCTCCCGTCAGTGGTGTAATAGGAAGCCTCTGGAGCCTTCGTACCTTGTTAATGGGTTGGCTGTGGAGTAGACTTAAGAGAGCAGGTGTGGCTCACGTCACTGGGTAAGGTTGGATTTGAATGGAAGACTCATGTCACGGAGCCACGCCCATCCATTGGTAGTGCCTGGCAGGAAGGACTGCCGTAAAGCTTAGTTGGAACTATCGTGGTTGATTAGCGATGTCTGCCATGAAGTGGTAGAGGGTAAAGATGGCACCCAGCCTTAGCCAGGAGAGAGTCTGTTTTTCACGGGTCCATCTTTCCTTTCACATGTGACTTGCTTGAGAGCTCGCTTGTCACTTCTCTGCCCCGCTGAAGTGCCCAGGCAGCCCCTCTGTAATATCTGGGCAGTCAAGTGGAGGTGGGCTTTATCCTCTGGGAGGGGGCGCTGAGCCAAGGCTGCCGAGAGCCTCTGCCCACTTCTCGTCCTCCGCAGATGGCGTCTACGCGATAGGCGGCGTCTTTCCTGTCTGGGCGGTGGTGGTGATCACTGGCACGGCCTTGGCTTCCATCACCTTTTTTGCCACATCCAACAGCGAGCCCCCCAAGTTCCACTGGGTAAGAACCCTGGGCGTGCCGAGAGCCGGGAGCGGGTTGTCTGAGGGCGGCCCCGCCAGGCATCGGCAGCGAGCTGGACTCTGCACCTGTTGGGGTGGGTTCGGTCTGGCCTGGTGACAGCTTTGCTTTGGTGAGACGTGATTCATGTGCTAAGCCATTCGCCCATTTAAGTGCAGTGCAAAGGTCATCAGCACATTCCCAGCTGTGCGACCATGACCTTGTGACCTCGGTTGGGGTTAGAGCGTCCTCCCCGTCCTCCCCGTTGCCAGGTGAAGCCTGCCCGTTCACCGGGGCTTCGCATGTGCCTGCTCCTGGGGCCCCGCAGCCACTCCTCTGCCTTCAGTCTCTGGATTTGCCTGTCCTGGACAGACGCTCCCAGCAGAACCTCACGCATGATGGCTGTGTCTGGCTGCTTCCACTTAGTGCGATGTCTCTTAAAGTTTTATTTATTTGAAAGGCAGAGCAACACAGAGAAGGAGACACAGAGAAGGATCCTCCATTTACTGGTTCACTCCCCAAATGGCTGCAACAGCCAGGGTGGGACCGGGTCGAAGCCAGAAGCCAGGAGCCAGGAACCCCATCCTTTCTCCCACATGGGTGACAGGGACCCAAGTACTTGGGCCATCATCTGCTGCTTTCCTGGGCTCGTGAGCAGGAAGCTGAATTGGAAGAGGAGCAGCCAGGACTCGAACAGGTGCCCTGATACAGGACACAGGGGTCAGTGGTGCCACGATGCTGGCCCCCATGACCAACTCTTGAAACAGAGACCAAGTCAAGTCTTTTTTTTTTTTTTTTCTCAAACTTTCTGTGGAAGCGAGCCGAGCACGCATGCGTCTGTGGGGGCAGGCAGGGTGCCTGCATGCACAGGGATTGCACAGTGGGAATGATTTCGCTGAGATAGGAAATACTTTGGAAAGTGGGGATGCCCTGGATTCAGGGAACCCGCAGCTGGGGCAGCAGTGAGCAGGGACAGGGCCGGCTGCGCCATCACAGGGCTCCGTGTGAGATGGGAGCGCAGGCCCCAGCTCCCGGAGCCTTCGGCTTCGGGGCATCACATCGGGGCAGGCTCTGAGCTGCTGTCTGGGGCAGCTCCAGCCCTGCTCCTCTGCCTCCAACTCGGCTTCCTGCCCACGCGCCCTGGGGGGCAGCAGACAGTGATAAGAGCCCGGTGGGTTGGTGGTTTGCCCGTCCTGTCCGTGGTAGGCAGAGCCTTGGAGAGGCCTGTGAGAGACGCGCTGGGCTTGGGGGCGCTGAGGAGTGACCGCCGGGCAGGTGGGGTCACTTTCGGGGAACCAAGGAGTAACTGGTTCTGACCTTTTATGGAGCACTCCGCCCGGGCAGCGCTAGCTGCAGATAGCACCTGGTTTTCTGCGCATGCTCCGAGGCCGCGCCCTCTGCACGCTTTTCCCTCCGCAGCTCTTCGCTTTCCTGGGCTTCCTGACCAGCGCCCTGTGGATCAACGCGGCTGCCACGGAGGCGGTGAACATCCTGCGGTCCCTGGGCGTGGTCTTCCGGCTGAGCAACACCGTCCTGGGCCTCACGCTGCTGGCCTGGGGGAACAGCATCGGAGGTGACTCGGGCGGGCTGGGCTTCGCCGGCATCCGGGCAGCGGCCACCTGCTGGTGTCGTGAGCCTGGACTCAGTGCCTGCTGCCATTTTTTTTCAAGATTGATTGATTGATTGGAAAGGCTGAGTTGCAGGAGATGGAGGAGAAAGAGAGAGAGAGAGACCTTCCACCTGCTGGGTCACTCTGTAGGTGGCCACAGCAGCCCCAGGGAACGTTGGTGCAGGAACCCAAGCACTTGGGCCGTCTTCCACTGCTTTCCCAGGCCATTAGCAGGGAGCTGGATCAGAAGTGAAGCAGCTGGGACTCGAACCTGTGCCCATATGAGATGCAGGTGTTGCAGGTGGTGGCTTAACTCACTGCGCCACAGCAGCATGGCACGGCACACCCATAAGGTTGCTCCCGGCAGGGAGGAGTAGGGAAAGGGAACCATGCTGTACCGGGCGCTGTGCCCCACGTCCCCGCGGCACCAGGCTGGGGAGTGCCATGACCGAGCCACTGCAGGTGAGGGTGAAGGGGGAGTGACCATGGGCCCCAGCTCAGGCCCCCTCCTGTCTCCATGTAGATGCCTTCTCGGATTTCACCCTGGCCCGCCAGGGCTACCCCCGGATGGCGTTCGCAGCCTGTTTCGGCGGCATCATCTTCAGTATCCTTTGTGCGGCTGCCTTGGCCTCAGCTCTGGCGTCACAGCCCTGAGAGCTGGGCCGGCTGTGAGCCCACTCTGGGGACGGACGGGCTCTCTGTGCAACACCTCCGGCTCCTCTGCAAAGTGGGGGTGTTGGGCTGAGCCTCAGGGGACAGCAGCCTCCATTGCTGCTAGGGCCGGGGCATTAGCAGGTGCGCACGTGTGTGCCCCACTGGAGGACACCCCCCACCCCCGGCTTGTAGGGACTCATGGTCCATGTCAGGGGCCGGCAGATATTTTCTTGTTAAAAATTATCTTCCTCCTTGTGTATTGAGAGACAGACACAGAGAGAGCGCCCATCTGCTGGTTCACTCCCCAGATGCCCGCAACAGCCACGGCTGGGCCAGGCTGAATCCAGGAGCCGGGGACTCCAGCTGGGTCTCCTAATGGGTGGCAGGGGCCCAGCCACCAGGGTCCTCACTGCCGCCCCCCGGGGCCTGCACTGGCAGGAAGCTGGGGTCAGGAGCAGAGCCGGGAACGGAGCCCAGGCCCTCCGATGTGGGATGCAGGCTCTGGACAGCTGGGCTGAATGCCTGTCCCCCTCCTGTTTCCTTAAAGGGCCAGAGAGTAAATCTTGTGGACGCGGGTCAGGCTGCGCGATCCCTTTTCACAGGACTCAGCTCTTCTGTTGCAATGCAAAGAGGCAGACAGGATAGAAACAGTGGGCACGGCTGCTTCCGTAAAGCATTATTTATGAATCAGGTGTGGGCTTGGCCGCTGCTCTCCAAGCCCTGATCTGCCTGGAGAAGGCTGGGGCAGCCAGCACGGGGCTGTGGGGCAAGGGGCTTCGGAAGCAGAGAGCCCTGGGTTCTGGTCCCGCCGGGTGCCAGCTGTGTGCCAGCCCTGTGCCAGCCGGTGGCCTGAGCGCCGGGTGCACGTGGTGTGCTCTCTGGGCCTCTCTCATCTCTGCAAGTTGACAGTGGGCTGGGTGGGGGTGGGTGAGATGCCCGCATCTCGCCTTGGGGTACCTGGGTTCAGTTCCCGGCTCCGGCCCCTGACTCCAGCTCCCTGCTAATGCCGGCCCTGGGGGGCTGGGTGATGACTTGGATGAGTACCTATGAGTACCTAGCTCCTGGCTTCTGGCCCCTGGCCCCTGGCTTTGGGCTTGGGCCGGCCCCTTGCTTTGGGCTTGGGCCAGCCCCAGCCATTGCAGGTATTTGGAGAGTAAAGTAAGCCAGCAGATGGGCGCTCTCGCCCCGTCTCTCTGCCTGTCAGATCAATACACATAAATTTAGGAGGAGTTGGGTGGGGCTGAGAGGAGGAGGAGGAGGACCTCACGCCCCCAGCTCGGCGTCCAGCCTGTGGCTTGCCCTTGGCAAGCAGTGGAGACTGCTGTTTGCTAAATAAAGCGATGTATTCAACGCACCGTGTGGCCACACCTGCTCCTTGTCCCCACCGAGACCTGCTCCTGGCCTCCAGCCTGTGCCTCTGCCAGTGTCTCAGGTTGAGTGGGAAGGAGAGAGCCTGAATGGCCTCTGGAGATGGCCTTGACCCTGGCACCATTGCCAGTTCCCACCAAGGGGCTGCGGGGGTCACTTTGCCCCAGCCCGCCTCAGTTTCTCCATCTGCTGAGTGCTTACAGGTGCCAAATGTTTCTTTTCCTAATATTTATTTATTTGAAAGGAAGAGTTAGAGGGAGAGACAGAGAGAGAGGTCTTCCATTCACTGGTTCACTCCCCAAATGACTGCAATGGCCGGAGCTGAGCCAATCTGAAGCCAGGAGCCAGGAGCCTCTTCTGGGTCTCCCACATGAGTACAGGGGCCCAAGCACCTGGGCCATCTTCTACTGCTTTCCCAGGTGCATTAGCAGGGAGCTGGATCAGAAGTGGAGCAGATGGGACTCGAACCAGCGCTCATATCGGTTGCGGGTGCCACAGGCAGTGGCTTTACCCACTGTGCCACAGCGCCGGCCCCCATGTCTAGCATTTCTGATGCCTCCTTTGATCCTCATGGACTGAGAACAAAATGCACACCTGACGCCCACCTTCTTAGAGGCGCTGAAACCGGGCAGGGTCTCAGGCTGGGTATGGGGGTGGGGTGGAGGGCGGTGGGCACAGATCACAGAGCAGGGTCTGGCCCGGTGGGAGGGGCACAGCGTGGTGGGGATGGGGCTGCCGCTCTAGCCACGCCTCCTGAGCTGCACCACAGATATCCTGGTGGGGGTCGGGCTGGGCTGCCTGCTCCAGCTCTCACGGGGCCACGCCGAGGTCAAGGTGAGTGGCCACAGCTCCCGCTCTCGCCTCCTCCTCCTGGGCCTGGGAGACCAGTTCACACCTCCCAGGAAGAGGGCATGTCTTAATTCATTCTGATTTGCCGAATATTGTGAAAGTCGTGTGCACGTAGGGTTGGAAAAGACATATTCCTTGCACGTTCGCAGAGTGATTAAGATGGGAGAAGGGGAAGAAGGCCCTGGGTGTGGGTCTTGGTCCTGTTACTTAGTCACTGCTGTGTGGCTTTTTTTTTTTTTTTTTTTAAGATTTACTTATTTTAATGGAAAGAATGACAGAGAGAAAAGGAGACAGATCTTCCATCTGCTGGTTCCCTCCCCAAATGACCACATGGTTAGGGCTGTGCCAGGCTGAAGCCAGGAGCCCTGGACTTTTACTGGGTCTCCCACAGGAGTGCAGGAACCCAAACACTTGGGCCACCTGCTGCTGCTTTCCCAGGTGCATTAGCAGGGAGCTGGATCAGAGTGGAGCAGCCAGGAATTGAACCGGCGCCCATATGGGATGCTGGTGCCGCAGATGAAGGCGTAACCTGCCACGCCACAGCGCCGGCCCCTGCTGTGAGGCTCTGAGTGGGTTATGACATCCCTGGGCCTTAGGTTCCTCCCTTGTAAAATGGAGTTGACGACACCTGCATGCATAGGGTAAGGGCCAGGCCGAAGAATGGAGCCCAGCAGTGCCCGCAAGCAGACAGGTCCAACACACGCTGAATGGCAGGGGCTTTTCACCACGTCCGGAGATTTCCTGGGGGCCATGAGACCCCTTGACCTCCCGTGTCCCCAGGGGTGGGGTCCAGACATCTGTACTTTTTAGCTAGCTCCCTGGGGGCCCATGTAGGAAAAACAAGGACTCCACTTGCATGGCTGCTCTTGTTTGTATTTAATTTTTATTACTTTTTGCCGGTGCCGCGGCTCACTAGGTTAATCCTCTGTCTGCGGCGCCAGCACATCAGGTTCTAGTCCCAGTTGGGGCGCCGGATTCTGTCCCGGTTGCTCCTCTTCCAGTCCAGCTCTCTGCTGTGGCCCGGGAGTGCAGTGGAGGATGGCCCAGGTGCTTGGGCCCTGCACCCCATGGGAGACCAGGAGAAGCACCTGGCTCCTGGTTTTGGATCAGCGTGGTGCGCCGGCTGCAGCGCGCTGGCCACGGCAGCCATTGGAGGGTGAACCAACGGCAAAGGAAAACCTTTCTCTCTGTCTCTCTCTCTCTCTGTCCACTCTGCCTGTCAAAAAAAATTTTTTTATTACTTTTTGAAAAGTTTTATTTATTTATTTGAAAGAGTTAGAGAGGGAGGGGTCTTCCATCTGCTGGTTCACTGCCCGGATAAATGCAACAGCCAGGGCTGAGCCAGGCTGCAGCCAGGAGCTTCATCTGTGTCTCCCACATGGGTGGCAGGGGCCCAAGCACTTGGGCCATTTTCTGCTGCTTCTCCCAGGCCATCAGCAGGGAGGGAGCGCTAGATTGGGGTGGAGCAGCCAGGATGCAAACTGGCCCCCATATGGGGTGCTGGACAGCAGGTGGCGGCTTTTACCTGCTACACCACAACGCCAGCCCCAGCTGCTCTCATTTTCAGTGATTTCTATGAGGCAGAGAGAGAGGATCTTCTATCTTCCGGTTCACTCCCCAAATGCCCACAACAGCCTGAGCTGGGCCAGGCTGAGGCCAGGAGCCTGGAACGCCATCTGGATCACGTGGGCGGCAGGGGCCCGAGTACCTGGGCCATCACTGCTGCCGCCCAGGGTGTGTGTTGGCAAGAAGCAGGAATCGGGAGTGGAGCCCAGACGCAACCCCAGGCACTCCCATGTGGGACACAGGCACCCCACGTGGCGTCTTAGCCACACGCCTGCAGGAGAAGTGGTTCTAGCCCAGGTGGGAGCCCCAGGCTGCAGGGCCGGCAGGAAACAGTGTGGGGTGTTGGAGCGAGCCTCCGCCGGCGAACTCGCCTCTGCCACCTTCCAGATTTTCTAAAGAAGGAATCAGTGCCTTAGGGAATCTTTCTGCTTTAAAATGTTGCATCAGACAATCCACACCCGCTGCGAGGCAGATCGGAGCCCAGGCTGCAAGCAGGCGGACTCCAGCCCCACATCTCTGGAGGGACTCGAACTCAGAGACCAAGACAGATGAGAATAAGCTGGGGGCGGGGATGGCACTAGGGGCGGGGATGGTGTGGGGGCAGGGGCAGCACTGGGGGCGGGGACTGTGCTGGGGGCGGGGACGGCGCTGAGGGCGGGCACTGTTGATGGGCACCCAGGCGCCCACCACTTTCTTCCGGGAACATCTCCTGGGATGGACCCCTCCTCAGCCTCTCACTTGGCCATGCCCACAAGCCAGAACCAGGGAAACACCAGGGGCTGGTGTGGCATAGCGGGTAAGCTGTTGCCTATTACGCGGGAATCCCATATGAGCACCGGTTCAAGTCCTGGCTGCTCCGCTTCCAATCCAACTCCCTGCTAATGCTCCTGGGAGTTGGGCCCTGGCAATAGTCACTTCCGGGTCTCCCACATGGGTGCAGGGGTCCAAGGACTTGGGCCATCTTCTATTGCTTTCCCAGGCCATAGTAGAGCTGGATAGGAAGTGGAGCAGCCGGGACTCGAACTGGTGCCCATATAGGATGCCAGCACTGCAGGCGGAAGCTTTACTCGCTATGCCACAGCACTGGCTCCATGAAGAGCTTTTCAGTAGGTGAACATATTTACTGGAAATTCAAGCGTTCCATGTGTGTGTGCTCATGGAGAGAGAGAGAGAGAGAGAGAGAGAGAGAGAGAGAGAGAGAGAGAGAGAGAGAGACGTGTGCCCTTTTCCTCGGCTGCCCTGAGAACAGTGGACACTTTGTCACCATTGTGCAGGCTGAAGCCCAGCTGTGGGCAGGGCCCTACTCGCTCTGAAGGCTCTGGGGAGGACCCTGGCCGGCCTCTCGACTCCTGGCGGCTGCTGGGGTCCCTTGGCCTGTGGCAGCATCCCTCCGAGCTATGCTTCTGCCTTCCGCTGGCCCTGGCCCTGGCCCTGGCCCTGAGAGTCCACATAGATTGTGGATAGTGACCTTTTCTTCAGACACCCTGTATGGGGCGGCGGCATTGTGGCGCAGCAGGTTAGGCCGTCACCTGTGATGCTGGCATCCCCCACAATGCACCTGGGCGTGCAGCCGATGACGACGGCCAAGTCCTTGGGCTCCTACCACCCACTTGGGAGGCCTGGGTGATGCTCCTGGCTTCAGTCTGACCCACCCCTGACCATTGCAGCCATTTGGGGAGCAAACCAGCAGGTGAAAGACTGTCTCTCTCTAACTCCGCCTTTCAAGTAAAAAAAAAAAAAACTTGCAAGGATTTTTCCATTTTAAAAGACTGATTTGAAAGGCAGAGTGATGCAGAGGAGAGAGACCATCCATCCATCTCTGGTTCCCTCCCCAAATGCCTGCAACAGCCAGGGTGGGGCCAGGCCAATGCCAGGAGTCAGGAACTCCTATCCAGGTCTCCCACGTGGATGGCAGGATCCCAGGTACTTGGGCCACCCCCACCTGCTGCCTCCCCAGTTGCATTAACAGGGCGCTGGGTCAGAAACAGCAGCCGTGGCTCCGACAGGCGGTCTCATGGGATGCCGGTGTCGCAAGTGGCAGTTTAACTCGCTCTGCCACAACACTGGCCCCGATTTTCCCCATTGTAAAAGTCCAGACAGAACAGCTAAAAACAACGCCGCGGGCGCTCCGTCCCCACCAGCAGGCTCGGAGCAACACGCTCCACCTGCTTCGTGGTCTTGTTTTCTGACGTCAGCACGGCGTCGCCGTTGCATCAGGCTCAAGCTGAGAGGCCCCCAGGCAGCAGGCAGTGGCTGCAGCTGGAAGAGACGTCTCTTTCCCTGCTGGCTGTGGGCCTCGAAGCTGCCCCCACGGGGACATCCTGCAACTGCCGGCCGCTGCTTGTCCGTGGCGGCACGGACGCCCCAAAGCTGCTGGTGGTGACCCAGCCCCTCTCCCGTTCTCCCACAGCTGGAGCCGGATGGACTGCTGGTGTGGGTCCTGGCCGGCGCCCTGGGGCTGAGCCTGGCCATCTCCCTGGTCTCCGTGCCGCTGCAATGCTTCCGGCTCAGCAAGGTCTACGGGCTCTGCCTGCTGCTCTTCTACCTGAGCTTCCTCACCGTGGCCCTGCTCACCGAGTTCCGAGTGATTCACCTGAGGAGTGTGTGACTGAGGGCGCCGCGGTGGAGGCGGGGTCACGGCCGACAGCAGCGGCGGCAGCTGTGTGCAGGGGGACGGAGTCCCTCCAGCTGCCGCCACCCAGGAGCACTTTGCCAAGGAGCTCTGCTGTGGATGAGGGGTCCCCGGTGGGCACTGCATCCTCCGGGACGGATCTGCAGAGTCCTCCAAGGAGGGGCCATTTGGGAGACCCCCGAAGCGTGCAGGTTGGAGGCACCTGCGGGCAGCCTGGGGTCAGGGCTCCAACAGCTGCCCAGCCTCGGCTCAGAGGACCTGAGCTGCACCGCGTGACGGACATCAGGTGCCGGCCACGTCACCGAGGCCAAGGCCACAGGCCGGAACTGAGGGCAGTGCACTTTACGAGCGCAGTGGCGTGGCCACGCGGCACAGTCTGGCCCAGGCTTCCTCTAGAGTCGTGCAGCGGGCGTGGCGCAGCCTCGCTGCTCGGGCTCCCCCAGCTGCAGGACAGGAGGCCGTGGGCTGTGCCCTGTGCCTACCTCAGGGGGCGCCCGGGGCCTGCGCGTTCCGGGGAGGGCCGAGGATTGCCGCCCGGGGCCCTCTTGCCGCCGGCAGTGCCCCCAGCTCGCTTACGCCGGCGGCGGAGCGAGAGAGCGCACTGTCCATCCCGCGTCCAGCGAGTGATTAAACATTTCAACAGACAGCACTGGGCCACTGCCTCAGGGGGTGGGGCAGGGGCGGAGTCACGAGGCAGCAGCCGGGGTTACAAAGCAGAGGTTCTTTATTAATATGCCAGATATCAGGGGCACAGGGTTTCTGGGTAACAAATCAGCAATGTACAAAACCTTACAGTGCTGCTCCCGCGATCCGTACAAAATGATTGTCAGCGTGGTGTGCAGTAAGGCTGGGGCCAGGCGGTCCCCTCCCCCACACCCGGGGTGGGGGCACAGGGCCGTCACTGCCCTGCCAGGCTGTGACGTGGGGGTGAGGGCCTTCAGAGCTCAGACCCCGGGGGCTCTGTCCCTGCTCAGCAGGCGAGTTTGGGGTCAGTGTGTCCCAAACGAGATGACAAGGGTACCCCCACTGCCCGCTCGCCCAGCCGGCGCTGGCTGACCCCAGGGCCTTTCCCAGGCAGGGCCGGGGGAGGGGGCTGGGTGGGTTCATGGCTGTGAGTCGGGCGCAGACCCCCCCCCCCTGCGGCCAGCCCTGGGGTAGAGGGGGGGCGAGGGGGAGGCCCGGGGCCCAGGCCAGAGGCCGCACGGCCCCCTCCAGGAGCTGCCACTTGACCCGTGCTTCCAAAATGCCCGTTTCAATACACAGAACCCCAAAGGCACGCAGTTGTGCAAAAAAAAGTTCCTTCTTTGAGAGGGGAAGGCTGTGGCCCGTGGCGAGAGAGGACCGTACGGCTCCCGCGCCCTGCGGGAATCAGTGGTTCTCAGGGACCCTAGACCCCCATAGCCGCCCTTGCATGGGCTGGGGGGGGGGGGCAAGCCCATGTCTATTGCCCACCTTCCAACCCCAGGAGGCAGCGAGGCCCCCATGCTGCTCCCCCACTCCCTTCACCCCAGTCCCACTCAGACTCTCACGCCCAGTCCTGCCTCCACTACGACCTGCGCATGCGTACAGAGCTCCCTGAGGCCCCCGGGGACTGCGTCACTGGGTGTCCAGCGGAGCCTGCTTCTGCACCAAGCACTACACTGAAAACCTGGGCTGGGCTGAGTGCCCGGCCCGGCCTCGAGTCCAGGGAGGGCAGGCGGCTCCCAAGGAGAAGAGGGACCAGTGTAGGTGGGTGTCCCCTGTGCTCCGCCGCCGTCGGCTGCCCCCCACATGCACCTGTACAGGACCTGCTCTTGTCGTCACACAACCCTCAGTTAAGCAAACATCTGTCTGCTTCAACAGGTAAAGCCACAGGACGGGGGCTTAGACAGCCCAGGGTGGGGACTGGCCAGGGGTCAGGGCCATCGGCCCGGTCTCCCACCGCCCCTCCTTGCTCGCGGGGCTTGGATCCTTGCATGAGGCCACTGGAGAAGGATTTCCAGCCATGGGGACAACACCAAAGACGCCCAGGAGAGACAGCTGTGGAGCCAGGGGCCCATCCTCCGTGCAGTCTCCCACAGGAACCGACCGCGTGGGAGGCCGCACCCCTCAAGCATTGGTCCCCAAAGGGAATGCCTAGGATGTGGCCATGGAGTGGTTTTGTCCCTAAAGCCAGACACGGAGCCCTGGGCTGTGAGCGGGTGGGCCTGACGGTAGCAGCAGGAAGTCGGGGCTGGGCCTGGCCTGGCAAGGGCGGGCCCACCACAAAGGCCACCCCTGTGGGCAGGGGGCACAGTCCACGCCAGTGGTCATCTTGGCCGGGGGTTTCTGGAACGTTCCACATTCGGAAGGGCTCGCTGGGGCCTGACCCCCACCTGCCCGACTTCTGCAGTGAAAGAATACGGGACAAGGCGGCTGCAGACCGAGCCCCACCTGCCCTGGTCTCGCGCTCAGTATGGACGTGTGCGGGACGACTCCATCCGTTGTGGTGAGATCCTGCCGTGGTGTTATTGCATAGAAGACGCGGCTGGCGCGGGTGGGGCTAGGTGACGGTCTGGGCGCGCTGGCGGCTGCCTGGGGGCTGCTGGGCGGCAGGCGCGGCGCTGCCGGGCGGCTGGTGCTGTTCCTCCTGCTCCCGGGCGTGCTCCTCGTACCACTCCTGGGGCAGACGGCAGGTGGGGGCTGAGGGCCCCACCCCATCCCAGCCTGCCACTGCCACCCAGCAGCAGGGGTCACACAGCCTGCACAGGGCCAGGGAGGGGGCCGCCCAGGACAGAGGGGACAGGAGCAGCCAGCGGGGACAGAAACCCCAACCCGCCTGGCGTGCGTGGCTCAACATGGGACCGCCCGCCAATACTCAGGCGAGGATGAACTCGGGGGGGTGGACACGCTGCGTGGACACGTGTCCCCTCTCAAGCAAGGGCCGGGCAGTAACAATTTGTCACCCAGAAAGGGCCTCCTGCAGGGGACCCTGTTGAGCTCAGAGGAGCTGCGTTCCCGCTTGGACCCAATGGTTGAGAGCCCCATCCGGCATTTTGGGAAAAACCGAATGGCTCCCCCTGCTGTGTCGTCAGGTCTTAGGACCAGGGACCAGGGCGTTTGGGTGATTGAGGAATTGAAAAGTGCACCGCAGTTTTAAGGAATCTGAACCCCAGACCTTAGAGCTTAAGGAATAGTCCAGAGACGGCCTAGCGCTGTGCAGATGGGGAAACTGAGGCCTGGCAGGGAGGGCAGCACGGGCAGCACCCCCTTCTGCCAGCCGCCTGCGAGCGTGACCTCCCGTGGTCCCCACCGCCCAGGGTCAGGCCAGGAATGGAACGCGGGCCGGGGCCTGTGGTGCCACAGCTCACTCCTGCGAGCGTGACCTCCCGTGGTCCCCACCGCCCAGGGTCAGGCCAGGAATGGAACGCGGGCTGGGGCCCGTGGCGCCACAGCTCAACCCCTGCGGATCTGCCCGAGGGACCCACTGAAGTCCCAGTCACCCTCAGGAATGGTGGGCGGGCAAGGACTTGGGCTCCACCGTGTCAGGGGGACAGAGGGACTCCCAGCTGTGGCCAGCAGAGGAGACCCTTCCCTAGGGACCTGGCAGGGATGGCAAAGTGCTGGTCCCTGGTCCCCGTGGCTGCCCTGCAACATCTACTCAGAGACAAGGATCAGGAGACTGTGCAAGAAAATATTGACTTCTCTCTTACAAAAAACAAAAACCAACCCACGCGGGCGGGCAGGCAGCGCAGGCTTACCCGGGGGGTCAGGTCTGGGCTGGAAGTGGGAGGAGCCGGTGGCCACCTCCTGCCCTCCCTCCGCTGGTTTTTCCACTTCCTGGGAGCCTGCAGCTCTGGCTCAGAGGAAGGGGTGGAGGGGAGCGCTGGGCAGAACCCCTGCAGCCCTCCCAGGGCGGCGCTGGGGCCAGGGCACGCATGCGCGGCCAGGGGCTCCTACCTGGATCTCCTCCTGGTACATCTTCAGGCTCAGGTCGCTTTTGGTCCTTGATCTCCGCCCCAGAAACACCAGGGAATTTTGCTGCGCAAGAGCAGAGGCTGTGGGCTCGGCTGCGGCTGCGCACGGCGCGGGCCCCACCCCGCGGGACTCTGAGAGGCTGCGCCAGCGCACGCCTCCACCGCTCACCTGGTACCTCTCCATCTGGGCCAGGGTCTCGAGCAGCCGGGCGACGTCCGAGGCGGCCCCTCGCCCCTCCCGGTAGAGCTCCAGCACAGTGACCAGCTCCTCTTTGGAGATTTCCTTCTCCAGGGTGATGCCGTCGTCAACTGCAGGGACCGGGGGACCCTGGGCTCAGAGCCCCAGCCTTGCACATGCGCATGTTTAAAAAACCTCCGCCTCCCTGCGGCCCCTGGAGGGAACCCCTTGGCCCGTCCCCATCTCCCCACCCTCCCTACACTGGGCGCCAGGAGCCTGTAGGGACAGCGGTTTTGGGAGGGAGTCTCCCTCCTTGCAGCAAGAAACGGGCCCAGGGAGGCCGGCGTCGTGGTGCAGCAGGCTAAGCGCCCCAAGCGATCCCCCATCCTAATTCTGGATCCCTGCTGCTCTACTGCTGATCCGGCTCCTACCGCACGTGGGAAAGCGGCGGGATGACCCCTGCACCACGTGGGAGACTCAGATGGACTTGCTGGCCCCTGGCTTTGGCCCGGCCCAGCCTTGGCTGTTGAAGCCATTTAGGGACTGGACCAGTGGATGGAAGATCTTTGTGTCTGTCTCTGTCAGTCTGCCTTTCAAGTAAATAAATCTTTGTTTTAAAAAAAGTTAATGGGGGGGGGGGGCGCCAGAGCTGTGGCATGGCGTATGAAACTGCCGCCTGCAGTGCTGGCATCCCATATGGGCGAAGGTTCGAGTCCCAGCTGCTCCACTTCCCATCCAGCTCTCTGCTATGGTCTGGGAAAGCACTGGGAGATGCCCCAAGGGTTTGGGCCCCTGCACCCATGTGGGAGACCCTGAAGAAGCTCCTGGCTTCAGATCAAGTCAGCTCTGGCCGTGGCAGCCATTTGGGGAGTGAACCAGCAGGTGGAAGACCTCTCTCTCTGTCTCTGTCTCTTGCTGTCTGTAACTTTGCCTCTCAAGTAAATAAAATATTTAAATAAAAAGAAAGAAATTAGCCTGAGAGCCTGATATGACAGAGACTTGGGAAAAGTAGCACTGGGCGTTTGGCGGAACTGGGGCGGAGCCCTGGGAAGCCACAAAGGGCCATGTGAGAGGGCCGTGCACCTGCAGCGAGGAGGCCATCACTGGCTCTGCTCGGCCACGCTGTGCCGGAGCGCGGTGTGCCCCTGCGGTGAGCAGGTTCACACCCTGGAGCGAGCCCATGGCTTAGAAATGTGGAGACGCAACAGCTCCGAGCTGCAGGTCTCAGGGAGAGCTGGGGGCAAGGAGGCCAAAGGGCTGCTGGGTAATTCTCTGCTCCACCCTCTGCCAACTAGGACACACGCCGTCTATTCTAAAATTACACCATGGGCCTTTCTCCATCACGAAATATTTGAAAATCAGTGCAAATCAGAGGCCTGGCAAGGCAAACCAGATGAATGAGTTGAGCTGCCGGGGGCTGGACTGCCCGCAGACAGACAGACAGACAGGCAACGCCTGGGAGGCGGCTCCCGGCACCCACCTTCCGAGTCCTGGTTCTTGCGGTTGTAGTTCATCCGGAAGACGAAGGCCTCGAGGATGAAGGCCACAATGATGGTCATGACCACCTGGTGGGGAGGGCAAGGGGGGGGTGCAGAGTCAGCGGCCCCACCGGACAAGG